ATAGCAAGAAGGACATTAAAAAGGCGAAAAGTAAAAAGTAAAAAATAATATCGTAGCATGATAATGTGCGTTATTTGAACGAAGAGATTGAAATGACTCATCGTCAATCGTATATACGATCTAAATTACACGAAATATATACAATATCCGAATCGAAAATCGCTCTGAGTCCATATGACTATAAACGATACATTGTACCACACTCGACGTATCATGGAGTCATTGGCAGATACCTTTGTAATATATATGTATTATATGTAATATATACGTTATATGTATTATATATGTTACATGTATTATATATGTATTATTATGTATTATATGTAATATATGTTGCTTATGTATTACTATTGTAATTTATACTTTATGTATCACACTTTTTACATTTATTATGTATTACTATTATTGTACTTTTACATAATACATATTATATGTTTTTACATTTATACGTATTACTATTATGTATTTTGTATTACTACTTATGTATAATATATATATATATACATATACATGTGTTTTGCTTCGTACATAAGTTGTTACCAATAATTATGTATTTTGTATATTCGAAAACGAAGATGAATGGGGAGTAATAAAAATATATATTTATATAATTATATTGACATACAATATACTTTTTTATAGAAAAAAATACACGAATCAAAATTATATCAAATGACATTGTTTTTATGTATCCAGGAATTGTGCGATTCATCGAATCCTAGCCACATGATGTACACTTTATCTCCTTTTTTGCTCAGTACTTTCTCTATGAGATACACGTCCGGATAAGTAGTGTGATTCGTGCTCGTAGAACGTTCCATGAATTTTCCTCGAGTAGATAGGTTACGAGATTGGCACGCTGCACTTTATCGATCGTAAACACCTTGGTAGTCCAATTTGATGTGTAACCTTTCTCAAAAACCGTCTTGTATTTGCTCACGCAAACCGAATCGCCCACTTTGAATTTTTCCGATTACCAGCGATTTTTATCGCGCTGTACACCGTGTTCATGAGTTCTTTCGCGTAGGTTACATCGACGGGTCGCATGACGATAATGCGATGCTTGCGCGCGTTGTAATGTGATACGAGACGCGGCAGCTCATCGATCTACTTGTAATTGCCATTGATTGTAAATATCTTCCACATGAGTTCCGTTTTTGAGTGTGTGATTAAACCGCTCGACCACTGACTTTTTTAACGTCGAATACGTGGAATAGTGATTAACATTGTGTTTTTTCAAGATTTTTTGTGTTGTAAAACTTCTTCTCCATATCCATTTGTAAATTTTTTGAACATCTTTCACTCGCTCGAATTATCTCAACGATAGCGTCAGCCATCTCGCTTTCATCCTTGCTTTTGAACAGTACGGCCCGCATACTTGCTCAATACATCGATGACAGTGAATATGTAGTGATGGCTTCTGTTGAAGCTCGAGTACGGGCGTATCTCGACGATATCAGCCTGTTACAGATCGTGTCTCTGAACTGACGCACCTTCGAGGAAAATTTCTTCTCGCCGATGTAATTCCTCAACAGTCGGCATCTCTCTAACTTTTTTCTTTTTTATGATTCATCGCGTAATACACAGGGTGTAAGAAAAAAAATGTATTTTTTTCTCGCTGACGTCACTCGATTGACCCGTCAATACGCGATTTAATTTATAATAAGACCAATTTCGCGAAGTTCCTCAATGATTGACAGCATTTTGTTATCGTGAGCGTTGTTGCCCACTTGGTGCGAAGCGTCGAGCAATTGACAATCCATCAGCTCGTTAAAATCATCCTAGGGCACGTAATCGATCGCGTTATCATTCAGTGTCATTGCATGAGGTAATCTCTTTTCAGATTTCTTCTGTTTCTTCGATATGATCGACATCAACAGCGTGGTTACGTATTTTTACTTGTATTGCTCTATTGCTCAGTATGTTCTCTATTGCTCAATAATTGGCCCTGCGAATGATACTTGTGTTTGTGCGCGTTCGTCGTACGAGCATGCTCTTGTTTATATCGTCTTCCATGTAGAGAAGATCATCGGGAATTCTCTTGAAAATTAAAGACCTCATAAAGATCATCGGCGTATCATACGCCGTCAATAATTATGTCCGCGTCATCCACGTCGAAATGCCAAACATCAGTCCTTGTGTAAGTAAATGCTATACACATAATCTATATCGCTCTTTATCTCTTCCCTCAGAACAGCCTCGATATTCTTTTGACTCAATGGGCTAAGCCGGCTTGCAATGCCTTCCGACTTTCCGATGTTTGCAACCGATTTTGAATTGCTAGCGAGTCGTCTATCGTTTCGAAAACGTTCTCCAGCGATTCTATCGATTGTCGGTATCATCGTCGTACGCGGGGTAGAAATTATCGATTGTACACGATCATACGATTATCGGATTTACGCTATCGCTCGAACGTCTCACTCGCTTCCTCCTCCTCTTCGTCCTCCTTCGTTTCGCGTTTGGGAGCAGACGCTGTGTCACTGTCGCGCGATTGTCTCTTTATCATGTCAGAGCCAGAGCTGCCAACGATCAGTCGCAGCGATTTGATAATAGGCTTAAAACGCTTGTTATGGCATGTCTTCGATTCTACCAGTCTTCAGAGTACGATGTTTCTTGCGGATCGACTCGCTTTTCTCAATCTCCCTCGCGATTTTTTCACGCTCACGCACATTCCAGTGAGAAATGACAATGAAATTGATGTCGAATCTGTCGATTTGATGATTTCGACGTCGAATCGACATCGATTTGATGTCAATTCCATTCTCATTTCTCATTGGGATCAGCCATGTTCGTCTCTGGCGAAATATCAACAATTTGTTAAATCTTTGTGATATCGCGAACTTGTTAAATTCTTTTCTCCCATTTTTAAGCGCACTGTCTATAACTAGAAATCCATTTTTTCGCCAACAATTGCGACACAACAAACAAAATTCGTCGTACAACATGTCGGTATTCACGTCATCGTTGTAAATGTGTTTCAAGTTGATACCACACTGTTTAAACAGGATCAGCAGGTTCGCGTTATCGTGTATCAGATGTTTAGTTATCCTCGCGTACGTCTGATAGAGATAGAAGCAATGACGGTCCGTCAAGAAATATTCTCTCACCGCATCCTGCTTGTCGCATGCCATCAAAGATAGAAATAGAATTTGGGCACGTCTCGCTCGGTGGAACGACGTCTAAATGAAAATAATTGCCTCGCGTTCATATTCGATGAGATTCGAAATGAACTCAACGATGTAGAGATTAACAGAAATATTGACATAGCATGTCAAAAAATTATGTAAGTGTCATCCGACAGAAGCGTGTTATGCGGAAAGCCGGCTAGGAAGCGCAGACTACTGCGGCCGAATATTTTAATTTCTGTTATTTGGACACGGTCTGAAGGTTCGCGGAGATACAAATTGAAATCTGCATCCATCCTGTAAATATTCCAGGTTATGTTATTGAGCCTAACTCACTGCCCTCGATCACCCTGTGCACGAACATGCCGGATACGCGTGCGGATTCGAGGGGAGAGGACCCCGATTCTGTACCTCTCTCCTCTCACGCTCTCGAACTATCTAGCGACAGTCATGTATATCGAGCGTTGTATGTCTATTGTAATTGGTAGTTGTGTGGAGTTTTATTCCATTTCTTGCTAATTAAACGTTAATTTGTTAAAGCTCAGATCCAGATTATTTACGATTCATTGCTTCTCATACTCAAATTCCCATATCAGCGAAAAATTAAGTTAAAAATTAAGACATAAAACAGCATTGTATTATTTTTGAAATATATTTCAGATCACTTATACATATACTAGCAATTGCAAAAGTTTTATAAATTATCTTTAATTTTATGTGCCAAAATTGAATTAAAAATAATTTATGAAGCTTTTGCTAGTCTATCCCCCACTTATGGGGATAGACTGGCAACACATATCATAGTGTGAGCCCATATTTGTGTTCTCTGATCGAATTTTTGAAATTTATTAATTATAATATCAATGTTGTCCGAAGTAAAAACAATACTTTTTGACATAAAATCAAAATTAATTTATAAAGCTTTTGTAATTGTTAGTATGCATTGCATATAAGCAATTCAAAATATATTTCAAAAATAATATAATTGCTGTTTTATATCTTAATTTTTTACACGATCATTCGCTAAAATTTATGCGGATGCAAACTTCCATGAGCGGTAGTGTAGAAAAATGCAAAAAAATATTCTAATGCTAAGAGAAAACGCAATTTTTATTCTTCTTCTTTTGAACAATAATTATATCATTATAAAGAATATTTTCTTGATAATATAATTTTAAAGTACTCTTATTATTTGAAACAAGTAATATTTAAGTAACATTTTTTTGTATGTACATGTGCAGGCTTCAGAATTGAGTTTTTTCTGACAGGTCTTGAGCATTTCCTAATTTTCGCAATGGAGATATTATTTTTAAAGCACTGAATATCTGTCATCGATAACTTGACGTGTGGGGAGCAAGCGTCGCAAGCCTCTAAGCTCGACGCGCGGCGCGTCTGTTAGGCCATCCCCGCTCTTCGCGACTCGTGTGTCGTGCGCTCGGTAGGCCGTATCTTCGGCAATAGGTTGGACGAATGCACGTATTCGATTATTTTAATATCTCGTAATTATTGTGAGCATTGCACAATGATAAAGGACTTTTCGACTTAATTTGGTTGCGTCCGTTCTACCTGCTCGGGTGGGGCCATATATTGATGCCACTCTGTATATGTAATCTATATGTAAATAATTTTATCTTAATCTATGTAAACATCTTATAATCAATGTATAAAACCATAAAAATATTTATAATACATTTTGATAAATATTTTGTAAATATTTTGCAAATACTTTATAAATTGTGTTCTGTTTGGGAAACAATATTAAATAATAATGAATATTAATTCTTTATTTTTCATTAGTAACTATTTGTTTGATCTCAGTAGCAGTGGATTTGTGGATATAGGTCTATATAAATTTTTTTTATATTTTTATGCGGAGATCTCGTTTTCAAAATTTGTCCCCGTATTTTAGTTATAATATTTTAAAGTTCACGTAGCTTGTACATAAACTCTAAAATATCTTAACATTTCTCATTATACAATTGTCAAAACATTAAAAATTTGATAAAGTTTAAGATATTTTTTTGGAAATCTTTAAAATTTAAAATAGAAAAAATTTAAATAGTATGAGTTTTTTCCACTAAGGCGATTTTTAGTAAAAAATTTTGGCAAGTATTATTTTCGGATAATTTTATACAGCACAAAACTGCAACATTTGTTACTGCAATATTGCTGAAATGTTGCTATTTGCTGTAATATTGCTGGAATGATTTGTGATCTATGAAATAGCAAACAAAAATGGTTTTGAATTTTCAGGATGGCAAGTAAGAAAGAATGGCGGTAATCACGCAGAAGTAACACGTTGCGATTACATAAAACAAACTTTCTGCGAAGATGTTCCGGATTATCCTCAAGAATTTGTAAATCAGATGCTCGCCAAGAATTCCAGCTTATTGCATTACGCGTACGAGGATGTTGTTAGTAAACTTATAATTACAATATAATATTTCTTCTCGCAGCTAACAAAAAATTGATCTAAAATTTTCTATTTTATGAATAGATTGCTCTGTCACCGCGATTAGATAACGAAGAGGAACCACTTTGCCTGTCTATGGTAAAATCATTTTTAAACTATGATCTTTTCTAAAGGTGAACCTACACGATCAGTAATATTGATCAGTAATAATGAATTAGTAATATTCACATTAAAACAGTATGCATTAATATTTTTATTAGGTGTACAACTTTGCTTCCGCCGTTTTTTTCCGAAATTCGAGGCTTTATTGTAAAAAACTGGTTATACATTTATGATTCAAAGTATTGTCGCTGGCCACTACTTTCTCCCATCTTTCGGGTAGCGTACGAATCCCGCGTCGAAAAAACTGGTCATCTTTTGAGGCTATCCACGAATCGATCCAATTCTTTACTTCTTCATAAGATCGGAAGTGCTGGTCAGCCAGGCCGTGTGCCATTGATCGAAACAAATGATAGTCAGAGGGAGCAACGTCTGGAGAATACGGCGGGTGGGGTAGGACTTCCCATTTCAACGTTTCCAAGTATGTCCAACATGGGGTCAAGCATTGTTATGCTGCAAAATCACTTTATCATGTCTCTCGTTGTATTGCGGCCATTTGTCTTTCAATGCTCGGCTCAAACGCATCAATTGCGTTCGATACCGATCGCCTGTGATTGTTTCAGGCGGTTTTAACAGTTCATAATACACTACGCCGAGCTGATCCCACCAAATACAGAGCATGACCTTGGACGTCAAAATCATCGTTCTTGAAGCGTTGAAACCATTCACGACTCTCTTTCACTAATAGCGGCCTCACCATAAGTATTTGAGAGCATTCGATGAGCCTCAGCCGCAGATTTCTTCATATTGAAGCAAAAAATTAAAACCTCCCGCAAATGATGAGAATTTGACTCGTAAACTGACATTTTCAATCGAGAATAATTTTATGATGCAGACACAAATCGACTAATATTTCTATGAGGTTATGTTGACAGATGCCCAAGTTTATTGTATGACGTCTATGATCTATTTATTTCGACCACCACTTACCGCTAAAGCCATCTATAGGAAAACGGCGGAAGCAAAGTTGTACACTTAATAGTATTTTTACGATCTTGCATGATCAGTATTATTGACAATATATTTTACTTTAGTTTTATGTATAATACATTTTTTATTACAAATAGACATGCGCGCGCTATTTATTTCATTAGTTGCTTTTCCTTTACACATAAGTGAAACTGAATCTGAAGTGAGTATTTCATTTCATAGATTTTAGATTAATGATGTAATTATTTCCCATACAGCATAGAAAGATTGTCAAATGATTGCAAATATATCTTATTGCAATGTTGTAATATTGCAAATAGATTGCGCAACGTATTTGCAACATTATTCCAATGTATCATAGCATCATAAAAATATCCGCTTTCAGCAAGATTGCGCTGTAATGTCATAGCAATGTTGCAGCGCAATGTAATTGCAACTATTATTAAAAATAATTTTTTGATTATTACTGAATGTAATTTGAAATATAATTTGTGATATAAATAAAAAATGCAGAAACAGAATTAATCAATATATATCTTATATTATAATTATTATATTTTATACTTAAAACTGCAAATTTTATATGCAGATATATTTTTAAATTTTGTATACGTATATTTTACACTTTATACATTACTACAAAATAGGTATACCTATTTTGTACATATTCTTAACTAGTGAAATAATAATGGAATAATAATGAAATAAAAATGGAAATAATAATGAACATATTCTATAATATTTCGTTTTCTTTACCATATTCAAAGAATGTTTTAAATCCATATATTCCAAAAAATTATAAGAATTGATTATAAAGTTTGAAAAATTTTGTCGCGCGGCAGCAATAAATATTTCAACAAATACTATAATTCCTCACTATAATAGCTCCCGCACACTGAACGTGGATACACTTGCTACGCAGCAAAATGCGACCAATAAGCTTATAGCTCCTAACATTGATTACGCGTTTGTCGTGTGGCATTTTGTCGTGTGGCAAGCATTTCTGCGTTCAATGTACAGAAACCATAAATTAATGGAAATAATTAACAATCATATAACATGTAATTGACGAACGTGCTCACATGTGACAGCACTTTATTATTCAAAAGCCAAAATGTTTTTTATTTTAATGTTTAATGTTTCTGTATTAACGCTGAAAAATTCTCAAATCTTGCGCTGTAATATGTATTATATATTATAATTTTTAACAATGTTGCAGCGATATTGCAGCGCAATCTGTAATATTGCAATGTTTCTGCATGTTATTTCAAGTTTCTTGCTATATGAGTTGCTTACTTTGGTAAAAAGTTATCATGTGACAACATAGATACGTAATCTTATTTAAAAAATTTTTTAAAACTCATTAAAGCACATGGTCTCGATCTTGTGCAGGTTATAGGCAAAAATTCGGTTAAATATAAATATTACTTATTAGAATGCAAAAGGAACACGCGTATAACTGATGTGAAAATTGATGTAAATGGAAAGCAAATATTATGTAACATATGTATATACATACATCTACGCATACATATATGTGTGTGTGTGTGTGTGTGTGTGTGTGTGTGTGTGTGTGTGTGTGTGTGTGTGTGTGTGTGTATACAAAGTTTGTATGTGTGTGTGTGTGTGTA